CGAATGTTTTAGAATTACAACAATATGATTTGAGGCGGTTTTAATTGGTGTAAGGCCATGTATAGGTTCATTCAGGCGAGGGGTACTCGTAGGTGACGGTGTGCAATATGGTTATTTTGGACAGATTTGTAACCAATACTATAGAGGAGGATGTTGGGGAGAGTGAAGCGAGGCTGATGATGGTGGAATTCGATGGTTGTTGTGGCCAGAAGATGGTTCTATGTGGATTTATAAATGGCTGCTTGGTGGTAGTGATGGCAACGGGGCAGAGCATCCCCATCCCACCCCGTTTGTTGTTCCGTTTAATTTTTTTTATTTTTATTTTTTTACATTTTGAAAGTTTTGAATTATATTATTATTAGATAATAAAATACAAATTTAAAATAAGTTTTTAACGGATAAATTGTCTAGAAATAAAATTATTTTTAATTTTTTTTATTTTTTCTTCACGAGGCGGGTTCGGGACGGGGCAAATTGCCATCACTACTTGGTAGGGTTGTGAAAGTGGTGGTGGTGGAGAATTTAGGATTTATATATAATATTTTGAAAAATTTAGGATTATGATTGAAATTAATTAATTGTTTTAATTTTATTTTTGTTTTATTTGAATATAAGGGTAAAATCGTTATTTTATTGAAAAAATAGATGAAAATGACCCTTTGCCCAATAAAATGTGAAAAGTATGGGTGAAAATGTCAAAAAATAAAAGGTACGAACGTTTTGCACAATAACATTGAATGGTAAGGTTTTTTGTTGTTAATTACCCTAAAAAAATTATACAATTTTATCAATTGTCAGCCGCTAAATCCTACGGTGCTAAATCATTAGACGAGCAAAGATATAATAAATCATTACACTTGTCCTAAATCAAACGGTTTGAAAAACACTAACCGCATCGGTCGTAGCTTTTTTGATGGTCTTCATATCGTCAAGTCTAAACTTCGCCGTGGCCAGCTTCCGCGGCCAGAGCTCCACCCCCGCGCCGCCGCTGACGACGGTTTTCTTGTCCTTCAGCCACAAAGACCTCAACATAAACTCCAAAACGTACACCAACGTGTACCACACTACTTTCATTAATGTCCACAAGCTCCGCCGCCTCCTCGGTGTCGATGAGGTTCCTACTCCGCCAGCGGTCGGCAGCTGCGAAGAATCATCAGCCCTCCGGCAGCAAGAGAGAAGCATCGACATCAATGAAATTCCATCTCCGAGAGCGTGGTGCAAGCGGAAGACCAAGCAATTGTGCGCCATGAGTAGGTGAATTTCCCACAGTGGTTTATCGGTATTGAGTGGAGAAGAAACCGAGAGATCGGCAAGATAATCGTTGACAGAATCTTCGTCGGAAATGGACGGGTCATCAGAGAGAGGTTTATCGAATACGAGGACATGGCGGTCGACGTCGACCTCCGTCCTACGCCAGTACTCGCGACCGGAGGAGTGTTTGACCATTAGACTGCAGAATCTAGGGTGTTTAAGCAATACAGAGTTTTTTACTTCGGCTTTGAAAGCGTCGGCGTCGATTGGATTCTTTACGCCGATTAGGCAGTTGATAATTTGGCTCGTTTCCGGCTGGAGGAAGAGCCGACCAGCCGGTGTTAGTGGCTCGTCTCTGTCCATAAAAGAAAGAAAATAATCTGTTTTCTGTCCGGGTATCATGTGAAACTACTTATAAGGGTTTCTCTCTCGCCATAATTGGTGCACTGTCACGCATCATTTTTTCGTCTATTCTCGGATACATATATTTTTTTAAATAGTCAACTAAATAAGTATACTATTTCGATGAAAGAATTTTATATATGTAGAAAAAAGATTATTAAATTTCTTTTTTTTNTAAATAGTCAACTAAATAAGTATACTATTTCGATGAAAGAATTTTATATATGTAGAAAAAAGATTATTAAATTTCTTTTTTTTGGAAGAATTAAATTATTTGTGGTTATAAATCAGTTGCCAAAACTTCGGGGAAGTGTATTTACTCTATGATTAGTCTATATACAGCGATATTATACAATTTTTGGTTGCATCTTGACGAAGCAAATGTTTAGCATTTAGTTAAGGGTGACTATCAATGAATGCGAGTGCTAAAGTGACATTGCATTACGCCTCTCTGTGTTGAAAATTGCAAGGATTCAAAGGTGTTTGCTTTTTGTACGATATATCTACATCATTTATAAATTATTAGTCCATTCCAATATAGTTTTTCTTAATGAGATATACTACTTGTAAATCTACCCTCTCACATGAAGGAGGATTCACCATGTAAGAAGGACTTACACTTTGTTATACATGTAACACCACTCTTTTTTCATATTGGGTAAATTAGCACAAGTAGATTCTAAACACAAGTTGCAATTTTCAAGTTTGAGTGGCTGTAATTACAAGGGTAACCATAAAAATCACCCTTCTCTCTATAATCACTCACCACCACCACCATCTCCGCCCGCACAAACTACGACCATCAAAAGCCGACCACAAGCATCATAAAAGGCTCAACACTATTTGCATAACCAACATCATTGAACAAAAGACCTTGCTATTTGTACATCAAAATTTACATAAATGATTACATAATGTTCATATGATACTCTCTCATTTGCCGGTCTAAAACAGCCAACTTTTTCATTCCATCTTTTCTCTCCACTTCATTTTCAGTAACCGTTTATATGCTATTTTTATATACAAGTATTAAATTTTTTGAAGAAATACTTGAATTGGCGCAGGAATCTGTCTACGAGGCAGGGCGGGGCTACAAACTTTATCTTTCCGACAATTTTTTGCCAGCAAAACACAAATCAAAGGTCCCCAATGATTACACACCGCATTTTACATTTTAGGAACATACTACACCCACTACTTGATTTAAGATTTTTAGCAAGTTTTGATAAAATTCGATGAAATGCATGATTAAAAAGCTGGTAAAATTTGTTAGCCTCATAATATGAAAAATGAGTTTTAGAAAACAAAGGCAAACAGGAGTTACATGTTTTTTGTTAAAACTATTTTAAATACAGGCTGCTTCATCAAGAGGTTAGGAACTGGTTAGGCATTCAAGAAGGAAATTCTTGGCTAGTAGATCATAACGTAGGTAATTAGTTTGAATCTACTAAAATTGCAAAGCTTAACAAGTAAATATCATTGAATCCACTAAATATTAACAATGGACAACACTCAGAAAATAACTAAAGTTTCCAAGTATTTATATTATTGAAGAGTGCATAGAGGGGGAGGAGAGGAGAGAGTTTAAAAAACCATATTTAGGAAACCTAAATTCATCTCAAGGAAAATGCCGCAATTCAAAATTTCAACAGAAGTTAACAATCGATGCAACATCATGCACTAATTGTAATTCAGTTATTAATGAAGGAATCCAAATCTCTAACAAAAGATTCAATATAAGACAAGCCAACGTCAATACAACTATACAACTAGCATAAGCTAACAGATTTTTATTTATTTATTATTTTTTTATGACCATGGAGTGTCCAGGCCAGCTTTGCGCACCTCGACTGATACCACGAGGTCCTGAAATTTACAGTCGGATACTCACTTCAGTAGTCTTAAGGAGACTCGAACTGGTGACCATTGAAGAGCAAACCTAAAACCTAACCACTGAGCTACAAAATCCATACGTTTATCTAAATAACACACCAGATTCTAGGCAATCAAATACAAGTTGATTTCAGAATCATCCATCTGTAACTTGCACAAGAAAGTGGGTGATGCTAATCAATTCCGCACAACAAACTCCAGCTAATTAGGTTTCCCCAAGGACCCCAACATGTATCCACCTACTCTACCCTTCCTAATACAATTATACAAATCTAAAGCAATTGAAAAGAACAACTTTTGCAAATAAATGAAGGACAATTGACTACACTTCCCCATAAAAGTATATACAAATCTAATGCAATTGGAAAGAACATGAATTTGGCAAATAAATGAGGGCCGATTGAATTCATGGATTTGAGAAAAAATTTGCTGGAAATTTAAAGAAAAATGCAAATACACTACTTAAGGGTTACTTTTCAATTAAATGCATGAGCGTCCAATTAAAAAAAAAGAAAAAACGATAAATACACGAGGACGTCTAATTCCTTAACATTGTTTCGCGAACAATTCCAACGAAAGAAAAAAGGTGAGACTGTCAACAAATATTCTGGATTCACATCACTAGAAAACATATTAACCCAATTATGACCAAAAATTAATTTAGATAGACACAACGACAATAGAAAAAGTTTAAGCACAATTAGATGTTCTCTCTCTACTGTGGGACAAATGATTTTGTTTTGGAAATTGATTCACAGTTTGATGAGCTCCAGTAGTCTAGAAAATTACTGGATTTTGTTGGGTTGGCATTCTGGAAGGAAGGGCAGTCACAGGGAAAAAATTCCCTACCAACGAAAAGATAAATAATGAGATCTCTGGAATTCACGAAGTCGGTAAGTCAACCTAGTCTTATCCATGTTATCAAAGGATTTCCTGCTATTATTTCTAATATGGAATGCGTCAATCATCCACTTTGAAATCATATTGACCAATACAGGTGATATTGTTCCTCTGAAATCTTATTGACCAATACAAGTGACATTGATCCTCCGTTGATCAAGTATTTCGATTTTTCGGGAAATATTATGATCATCCAATAAGAAAGGTTTCCATTTTACAAATGAATAATTTGAAGACTTATTGATTCTGACAACTAATTGTAGAGTTGATCATCCAGACCTTCTCACCTGTTTCAGCCTGTGCTTTAGAAATTGTTTCAGCATAATATAAGAATTCGAGTTTAATGATAATAAACCCAAAACTAAACACAAGTAATGAAGGGCCAAAGAGATCACAGATTATAGGTGCAAAAAGCATTTAGAGTTATTAAACATGCATAACTATTATTTAGCTTGCAATAAAACATAACAATCATCACATCCAGTAGAATTAAATATCAAAAGAATAACAATGCAATGAACCATACTAAACATAAAAGCTATCAACCAAAGCAATTGCAATTAGAAATTGACATGTATTGATTGATGGGGGTAAGAGTCTATTGCAAACGGAAATAGATAGCAAATGATCCAAACATAACGGATAGTTCCAAAAACTTAATTTAATCCCATAACAAACTACAGCCGATGAATAACCATGTTTGAGATAACAATTATAATAAAAGCAACACCACTACCAGTGTTTCAACGGTAGGATTTCTGAAACCTTGCACGAGCACCACGACCACCAAACTTCTTGGGCTCACAGCGTCTGGGATCTGCCACAAGCAGGGTCCTATCGTACCTGACGAGGATGTCCTTGATCTCCTTCTTGGACTGCTCATCCACATACTTCTGGTAGAAAGCGACGAGGGCTTTGGCAATGGACTGACGGATAGCGTATATTTGGGAGGTGTGACCACCACCCTTGACACGTATGCGCATATCCACTCCGGCAAACCGGTGGCGACCGAGGAGGAGAATGGGTTCAAATGCCTTGTAGCGCAGAATTTCCGGTTGGACCAACTCGATGGGGACACCGTTGATCTTGATCAATCCACGGCCACGCTTGCAGTGGGTAACTGCGACGGCAGTTTTCTTCCGCCCGAAGCATTGTACGGATTCTGTTTTCGACGCCATGACTAAAGTTGGCTCCTCTCTCTGGCGAAGGAAAACCCTAAACCTGGTGCAACTTTTGACAAAATTGGATCGGAGCTGATGGCGATGAATTTATACTCCTAGGAGAGTTAGGGTTTTAGGGTTGAAATGGGCTTAATTCATCGAGACCCGAAAAGAAATTCTTGGCCCGTTTCAATTACACTACATGTGTCATTACACCTTAAACATTAGATAAAAAGAAAGAAATAGTAATAGTAAGTAATGTAAAATTAATTTCGTAGCAGCTTATTCGAAATTTCAACGGTATAACGTATTTAATTAATTTAAAAAAATAAATGAAATGTTAAATTAATTATCTATATATAAAGTGCACTAATTTTTATTATTACCACTTGAGTTAGATTTTGACCTCAATTTCTAAATTTTCTTTCTCCCTATTTTTCACAATAAAAAGAACAGACAAAAAGAAAATATGGATAATATGAGTGAGTCGAGGTTTCTAAAACCCATGCACAATTCTCTTGGCAAAGGTAGGCTGCGTATCTATGTCAATCAGGACGATTGCCAAATTTACAACTGAACCTTTATCAAGTTCATGTGTGTCATTTTTAAAATCAACATTAAAAAGTTTCGTAAATCATTAAATCAATATGATTTTCAAGCTCGGATCAAACTTAACTCAATTGTTCTACATGATTTAACTTGCTCGAAGTTCCTCCAAATTGAATATATGAAATAAATATAAAAGCAAAACTATCAGAAATTTTAATTTTCAAAAAATATTCAAAATTTTAAATGATATACTTTTCTTTTTCTCTTGAGAGGAAAAAAAAAAAAAGAAAATTACAAAGCATAGTCGGTGGGCCCATTTTCTTGCATGTATGCTACGCAATGACCAACGAGCATACCATGGGGACGCTGTGGGCCATGCGCAGTTGCATTATTGAAGAAGAGCCAAAACCAAGAAATGGACATTTTATCATTATTACTGAAACGCAAGCATACCTTTTAAAATGCTTAAATTAATTAAAAAAGTTTTCAAATCCGACAATTTCTATAAGAAATTCAAAATACGTCCCACCGTAGACAACAATTCCCTGCAATTTAACATCACTATCAACAAAAACTAATCTCGTTTTCCTGTCGTTGAGTTGGTGGAGTAGGTGAGTGCGGAGATCTTTGATCACGAGTTTGATTTTCACTACTAACACTTTCTCGGTCGAACCTTTCGCACAGAACTTTTCTAGTACGGTTCACCTAACTGGCGTGATTTGCAAGCTATTACGTTAGCCCAATGATTTACCCAATGCACACTCGATGTAGTGATGACAACGAGGTGGGGTGCCCCCACCCCGCCCCGTCCCGTCCCGTCCTGCTTGGCCAAAACCCCGTCCCGCCCCACCTCACCATAAACGGGGCGGCGCAGAGAGGGGCGGGGCAACTTTTTGTCCCGTTTGTTGCCTTGTTTAATTTTTTTTACATTTTGAAAGTTTCGAATTATGTTATTATTAGAGAATAAAATACAAATTTTAAATGAGTTTTTAACGGATTAATTGTCTAGTGATAAAATTATTTTTAATTTTTTTTTTTTTTTTTTTACTTTTTCTTCATGGGGGAGGGTTTGGGGCAGGGCATCCTCGTCCCGCCCGTCCCGCCAACCCGTTCGGGGTGAGCTCCGTCGAGGTGGGGTAAATTGTCATCCTTAACCCGATGGTTAACGACTGCGAATTCTCCCATCATAAAAAAAAAAAAAAAAAAAAAAAAAAAAAAAAAAAAAAAAAAAAAAGTTTGATTACATTTTTGTAAGAATGAGAATGAAAAATATAGTTGTTACGAGTAGGGCTGGACATGGTCCGGTTCGTTTCGGTTCTAACGAGAACCAAACCGATCCGAAATTTTCGGGTATTTAGTAAGTGGAACTGTCGGGTCCAAATTTAATTATGGAACCGTTCGGGTTCGGTTCCATTCGGTTCCGTATTATAATTAAATTTTTTAATATATACAAAATTACATTAATTTTATTAATGATATATTTAATATTAGCTCTTACAAAATAACGTAGTACAATCTTATGTGTCTTTTACGTCTCTCTTTGCTAAATTCTTCATAAATTTGATTATTAAAGTCACGCGAAAAGAAAGATAGCGAGCTCAAAATAATTAAGAGAGATGCTGTAGAGCTTTAATTCGATTTTTTCTAGTAAAAACGACACTACAATAGAGTAACAGATTTAGATAAAATTGATGTCAATTTGATTAAGTTGCTTTTGAACAGAAAATTAGAAATACAAAAATCATATTTTGTGGTTTGAACTAAATTAACTAGTTAACAAATTTATTTAGAAAAAATAAAATAATTTTGCTTATTTAAAATAAATAAATTTAAAAAATTAAGGAGATTCGGTTCTTATTCGATTTTTCGGGTTTTGGCCTAGAACCAGAACAGAACCGTACTCGTCGGTTCTTGATTCAAATACCCGTTCGGGTATTTAATTTGAGAAGAACCGTTGGGTTCGGTTCAGTTCGATTTGGGTTCGGTTCAGTCGGTTCGGTTCGGGAGTTTTGTCCAGCCCTAGTTACGAGATTCACACAAGAGATGGAAAGTCAAATATGATAGTTTGATATGATGGATAACGGTTATATTTTTTATTTTTGTGGCAAAAAAATAGATAACAATCAAATTCAAGTACTTACAAAATCACAACATAAACTCGAATACTAAGAAGACCTTGTAAAAAATATTTATAAAATCCTACATCGATTCAATACCGAAATATCAATTTATATACAAGGACATGAACTGCTCATTTTAATAAATTTGACCTTTTAAGTCTGAATACAATATCAAAGTCAATTAATTTCAAACTAGCAATTTGATTCAAATTGAGTGCTCATTTGATATTGCTTTTAAGTGAATATAAGAAATGAGTGTTACAAAATTTGTGAATATTTGTACATATAAAAAATCTGTTTGACCTACCTAAAAAAAAGCTCATTCAAACACATAAATTTCAAGATTAATGTTCTAAAATGAGCTGCTATACGACGGAGCATGTTAAGAGATAAGTTCCATATCGATTAAATATATAAATATTAAGAGCTTTGAGCTACTCATATTAATTAAGGTTGATATTTTAGAATGAAATCTCAAATCTTAATACTTACTTAATATAGTCACTACTTACCAATTATCTAAATTATCAAAATCAACGGGAGAAATTGTTCATTGTATTAAGATAAGAAGAATGAAGGTTTCAAAATGATAAAAATGATAATTTTTTTTAATTGCATATTTAACTCAGAAGAAGGATTTAAGTTTGAATTTTCAATGTTCAGAATAAAATGGAGAAAAAGGAAAAAGAGAGAGAGTTGTCAAGAATTTTGCTTTAGGTCCTAACTTTAAATCTGGTTAAAAATTATACTCATTAGATGAAAAGGTAAATTTGACTTACATATGGAAGAATGCTTTAAAGATAAAAATAAAAATAAATAATTCTTCATTTATTAAAATGAGTATTCATTACTTAAATTTTCATTTTAATCAGTTTAATATATCAGACATATTAAAAATATCTATAACAGTCAATATCTCAATTCACAGGATTGATAAAATATTTTGAGCTGCACATGTCATGAACAACTCAAGTATGTTAGAAGCGACTTCTGTCATTAGTCCAATTTTAGTCATAATTTTTTTTTTTTCAAATTCTGATATGAAAAAAAGAAAAAGAAAAAAGGGAACATGCTCAATGAAAGGAAGTAGTAGAGTGGTTTTTAGAGTGAATTGTCCAAATGGTCACTGAATTTTGTAAAAAGTTTTCAAATGGTCATTGAACTTTAAAAATCAGCTAAATGGTCACTGAACTTTGCAAAAGATTCCTACAGGATCACTGAATTATTAAAATACCTAAATGGTCACTGAACTTTGTAAAAGGTTTCCACGAGATCACTAAGTGACCATTTTAGTTATTTTCAAAGTTTAGTGACCATTTGGACAATTCACTCTGATTTTTATCTAATTTATTTAGTAAGTTATCGTGAAAAAATAAAATAAAAATATTGGTAGCATTTGAAAATGCAAAATTCTATGTTAAATTGAATGCAGTGCACTCAGCCTATCAATGAATTTTTATTTTTATTTTTATTTTTTAATTTCAGGCTCCTTTTTAAATTCAAATTCTGGTAACCGTGCCTTCATTTCTCAATTAAGAAGTATTTGCCTACTTTTACTTTTGAAAAAAATATCAAATATGTGGCAGTAATATATTTGCAATGAATTTTGGTACTTTATAAATAGAGCCGTCACCCAAAAAAAAAAAAAAAAAAAAAACACACGCACACACAAACAAGAAGATGAAGAAGAGAAAAGATCAAAGATTTTGTTTTTGTTTTTGACGATCAAATAGACAATTTCTATCATGAATGAATACTCAAGTGCTACACCATACAAGTTTAGGAATTCAAGTGCAATAAAATTAAGTAGAGGACCTACTTACTTCATGTCCAATACGTTAAACTATAGCAGTAAATTTTTTGAATTTTCACACACAAAACAAGATGAGATACACGCATTCAAGAAGGGTAAAATACGTAGCTCATGAATAATTTGAAGAAGGGTCCACATACTGCGAGAATTATGCTCTATTCAAGTAGAATTATAAAACTAATCACGTTTTCTACAAATTAAAGTGATAACCGTGGTCTTACAGCGAATCATTACCTTAAAATGTAACGTTCGTGTTCAGAGTCCTCAATGATGAGACGGTTAACATAGTCACAAGATTAGAACCTGCTTGCCAGGTAGATGTATCATCACATTCTGACAAAAAAAGGTAATAAAGTTGTCGATTGCATTGAAAACAACGATAACATTTCAACACGTGTAATAACTCAATTGTTTTAACATTTATTCTAATTTTATAAAATACTCAAATATGGTAAGCAATAAGAGGATGGATAATGCATGTACACTTGTCACTTGAGTCCAACGTCGTCCTTATTGGCAATGTGGTCATTTGAAAATATCACCAAACAATGTTTATCTGATGTGGGTGTATTTCCCCCAAATAAAAAGTAAATAAGTTATAAATTAAGTAAAATATAAAAAGCTATTTATACTAATAGCTATTCATCATAAGTAACTTTTTTTGTTTACAAGCAAAAAGCATACTTAGCCAGCAAAATCAAGTTTCAAGCTTTTGACAAGTCTAACTATTTAAAAAAAAAAAAAAAAACAAACAAACAAACAAACGTAAAGCGTGATTAAATAATAAGGTCAGATTTTAATATAGACGAAACTTATGCGACCCTTTTAGGACAACAAATTTTTACAATAAGTGGGACCCACCCTTCTATTAATGAAAATTTCTTTAAGGTCCTTAAGGTACGGCAATTTGTTAGATGAAGCAACATTTTTGGCTTATGGTATGTTGGTTCAATCCTAAGCTAGTGAATTATCCTCTCCATCTACAATTTTTTACCACCCTCCTTCCTGTATTCTACTACCTCTCCCCACCCACTCCAACCCTACCCCACCTCTTCCACTATTTATACTGTCTGGCTACTCACAAAAACTCGGTAGTAAATAAGTTTCTAATTTATTTTTCTCTTTTGCTCAAGCTAGCCATGTCTGAAGGAGGAAATGGAAATGAGAGATTCTTATGGGATGATGATCAGTTATGGGATTTTCAAATTCCAGGCAACACAGGAGTAATTAGTAATCAACATTTGGACAGAAGGATGATGGATATCATCAATATAAATAGCCCGGATAATGAGGTGGCGAAAGATGTTCAAGTGCCAACTCCAACTCCAATGCCACCGCCACCGCCAAAGCAGCCAGCCGCTGCTGCAGGGAAGAAGAGGAAAGCTGCAAGTGGTGATGATAAAGATAAGGGGAAAAAAGTTGTCGGTGAATCTGATCATGAAATGCATATTTTGACGGAGAGAGAGAGGAGGAAGAAGATGAGGGACATGTTCGCCTCTCTTCATGCTTTGCTACCTCAACTTCCTGCAAAGGTAAGTTCATTAATTTTTCCAAATAGAGTAAAAGTTCATATATCTGTATCTACGGTGTCCTTGTTGAAGCTAGGGTGTCACATCTATATATAAATATATATATATATATATATA